AGCCAGCCGCCCTAGCTGTAGGATGTGACCACTTAGGGGGTCCTGTCAGCCACCCTATTCTTGCTAGGTGAGGAGCGCCATGCTTTCTCCCTTGATTTGTGGGATTTGACCACTGATGTAACTGTTCCCATACTCCAAGTGGGCAGTTGACAGTGAGCTGGCGAGTCTACAGCTTGGGTCTGCAGGCGAGCTTGGGACTGCAGGCAAACTTGGGTCTGCAGGCGAGCTGAGTCTGCAGGCGAGCTGGGTCTGCAGGCAGACTTGGGTCTGCAGGCGAGCTGGGTCTGCAGGCGAGCTTGAAGGCAAGCTAAGCGAGCTTGGGACTGCAGGCAGACTTGGGTCTGCAGGCGAGCTAGGTCTACAGGCGAGCTCGGGTGTTGATCATGCAGGCGAAATTCGAGCTGCAGGCGAGCTCCTGAGCATGGATCGAAGAATAGGCCGTAACTTTCAAACCGTAAGTCGGAATTGGACGAATTATATATGAAAATCGCCTATCTGGACAAGACGGAGCCATCTGAATTGAGCCGAAGGCTTTGGTTTGTTTCCTCCATTTCACCAAATTCCTTACGGTTTGGGAGATATTTGCATTTTCCCCTTTTTATCAGTGTTTTTCCTCTTTTTGCTATTTCGGGCGAGGTTTTAGCAGTTTTGTTCTGAATTTCTCTGATAAGGATTTAAAGGTAATTTTTATTGCCTACATATATTCATTTCCTTTATGCATATATTTCTTTTTGTAAATTGTTTGTCATCATCAAAAAGTGGGAGATTGTTGGCCTTCTTGTTTTGATAATGTTTAACAAACAATTTACCACTAATATTGTTTGTCTAGTATTTATGTTTTCTTATTTATTATAGATAAACAACATAGTTGGAGGTTGGATGGAATATGCGCTACAACGATCATATCCAATGGAGGTTGGCGGAATAGTAGGTGAAGCTTATGCAATTCAAGATCCAAGTTCAAGCTTCATCCGTATGTGTACCAAGTTGAGCTTCAATGAAGATCAAGATCAAGCTTGGGTAAACTAGTTTAGATTTTATATTATGTGTGTTAGATACTCTAAGCTCAATATCATATACACACACAGTTATTGGTTTCTTCGTATATCTATATAGTTATATAGATATACATAAGTTTTAGTTTCTATGCATATATATAGTTATATATATACATACATAGTTTTTGAGTTTTCATGTTTATAAATATGAAATCATATATTTAATATTTACTATTGTGTTTTTGAAATCATTGCATAGAATATGCAATTTTTTGAAAATTCTGTATTATTAGTTTTTGGACTTAACAATAATCATATACATATTTTATCAAGTCTATATAATCATTGTGCAAAGTTTTAAAATATGGTTTAGCCTAAATGTCAAAATTCACATGTTTACTTTTTCGTGTTTTGGACTATTTTTGCAAAATGATGATTTTTCACAAATAGAAAATGCAATTTGGAAAATTCTTTTTGTAACATGTTCATTTACATGTTTATATACATTTCCCAAAGTTTCATATTTTTTGGACTTCATTTGTTATTTTTAACAATTTTCCAAAAGTCAAAAAATCTGTTTTCAAAATCTTTTTTTCTGTTGTGTCAGTTCGCGGGCAGAACTCAGAATATGTTTTTATGGCTTACGGTCGACCGTGACGGTCGACCGAAGCGAGTCCAGAGACTTTCGCGGCCGACCGTCACTTGTCCAGTTCTGTTTTTTGATTTTTTGTTGCTCGTGGTCGATCGCACCGGTCGACCGTCGATATGACCGTTGGACTCCAACGGCTATTTTCTGAGCTGATTTTCTGGGGCTGTTTTTGTCCTTTGCTTGGGGTTTTGACTGAGATTTTAAGTGTGTATAAATACCCTATTTCTGTTCTCTTTCAAAGAAATCTAAGAAGTTTTTTAAACAAGGTTTTAAACAAGGGTTTAAGCTTGTTTAGTTTTGGTTTAAGTTTGTTTTGGGTTTGCTGTTACAAAGAGGAGTTTACATTAACTATTGAAGAGTTCATCTTTAACATTTCATCATCCTCTCTTTGTGTTTATAGATAAGTTTCCTAAACTCTATTTCCTAGCATTTCTACTATTGTATTTTATATCAATCTTATTGCTAGTTCTTATTGAGTTAAGTTTTTATTGAATCTTATTGTTACACACACCCACATGAGCTTATTGTATTTGTATTCATAGTATATTTGGCTTGTGAGAGATTGTAACATTGAGTTGTGCTTAATTAAGTTCTCATTTATTGTAGAGAACAAATTTATATTTGTTACATTGTGAGTGTTGTAAGGTTTTCGGTGAGCTAGAAACCGAGTGTGTTGTGAAGTTTTTTTGTGAACTAGAAAACCGATTGTGAGGAGTGACGTTGATCGGTGAGCGTTGAAAACCAACACTGTGAGGTGTAAACGTTATTCGGGTGAGCGTAGAAAACCCGGTTGTGATAGTGGATTTCTCCCCGGGAGTGGGGAGCGGAGACGTATGACGGAAGGTCCGAACTCCGTGATCATATCTTGTGTTTGAGTGTGCTTTGGCGTTTATTTATACTTGTGTTTATATTTCTTGTCGTCATTGTCATTAGCTCATTATTTATATGATCCACTATCTAGTTCATATTGTTTACCCCTTGTGTTAGTTTTATATCCTTGCACATACATTGCTTATATCTCTTTGTTAGGATATATCTCGTTGTTCATATTGTTTATCCTATCTCATATATTGTCATATTCATACTTGCTAGGATAACTTGTTAATTAATTTTAATTGGCATTTAATCGGATTAGATTAGCATAAGACCCTAAAACCCCCCCCCCCCTCCCTCTAGGGTCTAACATAAGCATCATTCGAGTTTCAAGTGAGAGATGGAGCAACTCGTATAGTGTGATCCTAGCTGGTATATTAGCTAGTTAGGCAATGATGTTGAAGTAGAACAGCTTATTGAGGCATGTTCCTTTGCCATTGTCTTGAGCAGGAGGTGTTGACACATGTCTTGACATTCCTGCCTATTAAGAGTCATCATTGATTGGGCCATATTGTTTTCTGTATAGATATTTTTCCTAAATCTCATTCCTGATAAGGTGGCTTGGGCCACCAAGACTTCTCCTTCATGGTCAAAGTCAATGAGGCTCCTTTATGCTCAAAGTCAATGAGGATCGCCACTTCCTCTTTATCTACTTTGCTGAGGATGGAGATGAAATTGATAGCTCTATACTAGCTCCTTTAAGACTCTCTGGCCATATTGGTAGACACCTATTGGTCATCTTTGAGTTATCTGGATGGACCCATATGAGTTCTCCTCTTTTGAGAGCGAGTGAAGTGAGATCTCTGGCTTCTACTCCATAAGGCCCTTGGTTGATCACTTCTATCTGAGCTTATGGGGTCAGAACCATCCCATATTGTACCGTTACTTTAGGCATATCCCCCAGTTAGAAGGCGTATATTTTCGACAACCTTCTTCTCCTCATTGTTTACATAGATGACCTTGGCGTTGACCAATGTTTATATCTAATTCTTAAGGATGAAACAATCCTTGGTAGGATGTCCAACAAACTAGTGGAAAAGTAATAGCTTTGGTCATTAGCCCATCCATCTTCTTTAAGTCATATAGCACTCAAGCATGTTCCCTTGCCTAAGCATGTGGAATATCTTAATGACTTGGCCATCCCCGAAGGAGTATTGACTCTAAGGAAACTATTTTTCTCAACCTTAGCAAGCGGATTGGTTGAAGTTCTTCTTTTATTGCCATTTTTGTACTGGTGTTGCAAGCATTCAACGGAGATTATACTGAATGGTTAATGCCCATGTCTTGTAGTTGAACCAGTTAGTTGAATATCAATAGCTAGGAAAGTGTAGAGTTTTTACTTGTTCATAATGACAAGGTATGATCGTCAATATGGGGATGTAGTCGGCGAGACGAGGTTAAGGGGACCATGCCAAGGTAGAAAGTTGATGGAGGTTGAGGGCAGATCTGACGAGATCTGGTTGGAGTAGATCTCAGGTATCGATAGAGATAAAGGGTAGATCTGATGTGTTGATAGCAGATCAGATGGGATCAAGGGAAAGTAGTAGCGACCAAGTCACAAGGTCGGCGAGTGGGTCATGAGTTGATTCTGTGCAGGGATACCATTGAGGCAGACTACAACGAACGAGTCATGAGGAGAGTAATGGTGAGATTCCATGCGCGTAGTGACAAGTAGTCAAGAGATTGAGTTGATCTAGTGTGATTACATGTGACCAATGGATCTGGCGTGATGACGATGATGAGTGGATTGGATTCGGCGGGTCCAAGTAGAGGAAGGTGATGGCGAGCTGCGGCAGATTCAGCAGGCGTCAAATCTGGTGGTGACTGCTAGTTGGATTAGGGGTTATGTTAGGATTTTAATTAGGCATTGATACCGTAATTATGGGAGAGAAAATATTTTTAATATTGATCTGTGAATATAATACAAATATATAGACAATACATGGCCCAAAGTGGGCCAATACTGGGCCTGTACACACATATACACATTATAGTAACAATATTCATAAGTAATAGATCATTAATCAAATAAATATATCATAATATTTAATATATAATCATATTCGATAAACATTCGTGAATATTCTAAAAGTATTTTTATTTGAATTTGAGGAACTCAGAGAGTGATATCACAAATTTGGAACGAATGCAAATATCAACATCATGCTATTAGAGCCTTTTCCAACCCTAGGTATAACTTAAGGGTTAAATTTTATCTAAAGAGTTAAATAAATTCAATCTTTTCTTTTCAAATTGATAAATATTTTAGCACTTTTACTTAACTATATTTCCTCCTCAGTATTTATCAAACAGTACGTTAAATTTTTAACACGAGAAAAAAAGGTAACAATGCGCAAGCATTGAATCTACAAATAATAATGAACATATTTCCCCCGAAGATGTACAAGTGAAAGCGACCCCTCTAGTCCTGCACAAGAAAACTGCTCTTTTTAAACCGAGGCTCTCGTCAGCTCCCCTCAACTCTTTATATCAATCCCCTTCTCTTCTCTCCGGCGAGAATCTGGAGCGCAAAAAAGCGGACACAACCAATATTAATTTGCGAGCTTTTTAGCTGCGTTTCTGAGTTCTTAATAAGCTGCTTGATAAGCTTCAGCGTGTTCTTTAGCTTGCTCTTCATATCTCTGAAGTCTTACGTGTTCACTGCAGTGGCTCGTATGTGTTTCTGAGGCGAGCGAAAGAGATCGAGAGAAATCAACAGCGCTCAGATCAGCCTTAAAAAAATGCCTAAAAGCAGCTCCTCGCTCCTTCACCCAGTTCCCTCCCTCTTTACTTCCCAGAAACTCTTCATGGGTTTCTCTCCGAAGGGCCTCTCCGATTCCGAAATCTCGATAAGCCCAACTTCTACACTTGAGACCAAACACTACTTGTCTAAGACTGACGTCGATCGCAAAACCCCCCCTAGCGGGCTCGCTCTTGTTGACATCCTCAGTAACGATAGTAACAATAATAATGCCAGCGGTGAAAACAAACTATTCGTTTTTGGGTCGTCACAACTGAAGGTTAGAATCCCGTCGGTCCAATCCAAGTCAGTGGCGTCTCCTCCTCAATCACCCTCCATCGAGTTCGGAGTCAAGACGAAGGATTCTCAGTTGGCTCTCCGCTCTCCTTCATTGGGTTGCGGTGCTGGGCCCTGCTCTCCCTTGGCCCCTGAGCTCTTGATTGACATGGAGCTCTCGGAGGAGTACACTTGCGTGATCTCCCACGGGCCTAACCCGAAAACTACTCACATATTCGACAATTTCATCGTTGAGAGCTGCGATGGCGATGGATTCGTAGCCTTCAGGCACAAGGAGTCAGGACGCGCTGAAGACGGGTTCTTGAGCTTTTGCCATTCTTGCAAGAACAGCCTCTCACGAGGGGAGGACGTTTTTATGCACAGGTTAGTTTTCTGATGTGGGAATCTCGGATTAAGTCACGAATCATTCAGCAAGTTAAACTTCCAAGTTGTTTAGGTTGAGGATTATAATTTTTTACTCCAACATGTATATAAACATGTATCTGATTGTCCTTTTGATATGTGATACCAGCCATATATATATTATTTTATTTTTTTATTTATTATTTTCTTTTTTTTTTCTTGAGAAAGCCTCAATTGAAGTTGTCTGGATAGAGGATTTTATTTATTTATTTATTTATTTATTTTTGAGAATTACCTGTATTGCTTAGTTGACATGTTTTCTTTGTTTTCAGAGGTGAGAAAGCCTTCTGTAGTGAAGCGTGTAGGCGCAGAGAGATGATGTTTGAAGAACCAGAGAAGAATTTTTCACAAGACCTCTCAGATCTTCTATAATTTGTAACTTGAAGCGAATTTCTTTTGCTGTTATCTTTCACCCATCTTCACCATGTTTTGTAAGTTCTTCATTTGTGTGGGGCATCTAAGGAATCTGTCAGAACATATGCTTTTTTTTTAAAAAAAATATTTAGGCATCTTTTTGTAAATTGGTTGTAGCATAATTGGGTTCCAATCAAGATGTTCAATGAATTTTGTATTCTCGATGGTTTACTTTATGTCTCATTGTCCCCTTTTTTTAAAATTTTTAATTTCTTTCTACTGTGTTTCCTCCCTCAAATAGAGAGATGTTGGACGTTGTTATCGTACATAAATCTATTAATTTTTTTTAGCGTTGGTGTTCTCAGTTTTCACGCCTACCATCAACTTTGTGAACATAAAATTTACATTCTAGCTTGATGAATTGTTTGTAGCATTGATCTCGGCAACTGTGGAGTACTGTAACTCCATTCTGGGTCAAACTCCAAACACTGGAGCAAAAGCCTTAGCTTCCAACTTTAAGTCATCACAAAGTTGTATTTGTACGTGCATTACACACAGATCCCGTAGCGTAAATTATGTGTCCATCTTTAACTCAGCATCTTTATTTATTTATTTATTATTTTTCTTAGAGATCATCTCTAGCAAAGAGAAAAGTATTAGGAAGACATTTTGTTGTGTAGCCTCCATGTCTATCCAGAAGAGAAGTTCATACATCAGTTCTGCAGTAGTTTAACAGGCATCGACTTCTTGCATGAGTTTTTTCGGGACAGTCGATCTCTTCTGTTACCTTCTGCGAATGTGGCAATCGTCGAGCGATTGTGGTTGTATGAACTTGTTCAGCTGTCATTCTTTTCCGGCTATATCTTGTCATCTGCTCTTTTTCTAAGTCTTCGGCCTTGTAGCGATTTGTCGATCTTTCTAGATAGGTTTGCGACCTCACGGGTCTTCCTAAATCCTCGGGTTGCTCGGGGAACTCCTAGCGTGCGGATCCGAGAAGAGGGTCACATTTAGAGCCGCATCACATACACTATGTATTGAACATTTGGCGCCTCACCTGCCGACCTGTTTGGAAACTCCGGCTAAAACTGATTCATGAGAACAAATGTGGGTTTAAGTCCTGGTCCTAGTTTGGGAAATAACTGGACGAGGACTTAACTGGTTTCTGGTTGTATCATGCTTCAAGTGTGTAGCTGGGCACCAAACGCACCTTGGCTCCTCTGTACAGTTCAGTCACTAACTCTGGAGATCTGCCAAGGAGAAGTTACTCCTAGTCCTTTGAGCTTACACTCTTTTTTTTTATAAAACCTTTTATGTTATAGGATTGATTTCTTCCTTTTTATCTTTTGGCAAAAAATGAAATCGCGGTCATCAGAACAAAACAATGGATTCGGGGGGCTTAAACTGAAAGTCAGGTGTAGCGAAATTAGAGCCAAATCCTAGGTCTAAGCAAAATTTCCCTTCATCAAAAACTTTTTTGGGCTTCTCCTGCAAAATTCACAACAAATAGAAATGTGTGAACTCCGTCACACACTTAGCACTGAACTGACTAAATAAAACCACTACCCACACGCAAAAACGATAACAAAAGAAAGAAAGATGGCCTTCTTCAGTATCAACTGGCGTTTACTGCTAACAATAGCAACAATTCTCTACCCTACACTGATCAGAGCTCAACCCTCGACTTGCAACTTCAAAGAAGTAGACCTTCAACCTTGCTTGACCAAAACCAGTGAGGTCACAACTGAGGCTTGTTGTTTAGCCCTTAATCAAGCTCTCAATGCGGGTCATCAGTGCTTGTGCTCGGTATTAGGCTACACTAATCTCCCATTAGCCTCCGCTAATGCTCTCTTAACTGTGTCACCACCGGCATTAATGTTCCCGGGCTGTGCTCTAGTCTCCCCTTCTTTAGCAGCTTGTGGAGGTAATTACCATTCTTTTCCTTTTTTTTGTAATTTTTCAGTAAATTACAGGGTTAATTGCACCCTTGTTTTGTAATTTTTGGCAAATTATAGGTTAATCGCGCTTTAATATTCTAAACTTTTAATCATGTTTTGACATCGGAGTCTAAGTTTACCGAAATGACAGCTCAAAATTTCTCTCTACCTTCATCTATTTAACGTAACAGCTTTCCAACTCACTTTGCACATGCTATTGTTTCATTGATTGAATTGTTTTTCTCAAGAAAAGGTAATATCTTCTTCTAATACATACATCAGTACAAATTCAACCTCATGACAGAAATTAACAAATTTATCAACATTTCAGCACATTTCAGCAATAGTCCTAAATGTTCACCCTAATTTCAAGCTAATTTATGAACTGTACTTTGGAAATTTATGGGGAAAATGAATGTAATCAGCAAACAAAATTTCAAACAATTAACAAGAAATTGGGTATTAACGTAAGTTTATCCAATAACTATTAAGTTAGCCGGATAAGTATAGGTTAAAAACTTTTGAAATATCATTTAAGCTAATTCTAACCTCAAAATATCGAAGTAAATAAATGGATGAAAAATTAGGCATTCACATGCAATTAATAATACATTATGTGCAATAATGTTGTGTTCCTGATATGTTTGCAGTACCACTGGAGATAAATCCTCCCCCATTTCCAACCAGGGAGCCTGTGGCCTCTGCACCTGCACAGCCACCAGTGAATTTGTCGACAAATTCAAATCAGACATCAACAGAAGAACATCAGATAGAGAGAGCAACTCCTGCAACCAGCAAGAACACCGGTCCTGTGTACGCTTACAATAGCAACAATGGAAGCAGTGATGAAAGCCTAAACATGTTCAAGTCATTTGCATCACTGGCTTGGCTCATTACTCTATCTGTATGGATCATCATATAATATTATTATTTACTTTGGCTCATGAAACAAACCCTTGTAGAAATGAAATATTTCTGTGCATGATTGGTTTCTAACTAAAACACGGCATAATGCATACTTGCCAGTCAAAAATTGTTTGAATTGCAGATAAAACCCCAGTAGTCCTTTGTTGCAGACAGAACACAACCCTGGGTGGTGAATTTTAATATTTTTAAAATTTTTTTTACTAATAGACTCCCAAGGACAAAAGAGTCAAAAAGAATTTACTCACGAGATTTATCTACAACAATAGAACTCAGAGGGTGGTCCATCAGGAATTTGGCAATAGAACAGGGCTTATATCCGCAATTAACCAACTTTAAATCAGGATGTTACCAAGACAAGATCCCCTGAGTTGGATTGAACATACAAATTTCATCTATTTCTTTAACAACAAAATGTTCGATACAAACTAATCAAAGACACTGAACCTGGAACTAATGATCCTTGGATTTTACGAGCAAAATCAAGGGATAGGTATCAATCATCCCATCCAGATGCCATTATAATTGTATCACCGATTTTAGTACCGTTAGCATGTGTTGCAATCGGCACTCTGATGCTTGCCTTCACCGCAGTCAACATCATTTTGCTTAGACTCAGGGTTATCTTCAACCCACTCAACCTTAGCTTCATTTGAGTACTGTTCTGGGATATCTCCCCGTTCCACTTCATTTGAGTATTGTTGCGGGAGAGAGTATTGTTGTGGGATATCTCCCCATTCCACTTCATTTGAGTATTGTTGCGGGTTATCTCCCCATTTTACTTCATTTGAGACTGCTTCATCTGAGTACTCATTTGGGACTTCATCGCCCAAATCGGCTTCATAGTTCTGGCTTCCCATAGAGTCTCTCCCTGGTGGAGGAAGAGGGCAGCCACTATAAGAACCGTTGTCTGCACAGTACCTCAGTAGCTTATCCCAGTAAGGATCCTGTAAAAGGAACAAGATGGTCATTAAGAGCAAACTGGATTAGTTATCATTTCATGAAGAAATGCAAAAGAGAAAGGTGAGCTTCAACACCTAATTTTTTGGATTAGTTATTTTCATATTTGTTTATATTCATTTTTACCTGGAAAAAAAATTAACCATTTACCCTCTCCACTTTCCTCAAATTCTACAACTGCTTTCATGTCTGAAACATAGAAAAGCTTAAAATCAAATTAGTAATAAAAAGAAAACATGAAGATATGTATAAATCATTTATATTAATAAACAGGCCATAACTAGGGCTGATTTGCAGCCTAAGGAACTTGAATGGCATGGATTACGACTTCAATCTAACTAATGTCTGAAGATGAAAAGTTAGGGTTGTCACAATTTTCAAAAAATAACAAGTTTTGGTTAGAAACAAATTTGACTAATTATCAAGCCGGAACTTTTTTGACATATTCAAGATGTACTAATCTACTAATGTGCTGGAATTATCTCGATCTAACTGTAATCAGTTCTTAAAAATCTAGCTAAATTCATACATATCCAATCATCATACATTTGTAGATACTCAAATCATGCATTTGAGGCAGGACTTCCAAATTTTATTAAATATATTAATCTCAGCAAACTGTAAACATTCTTATCCATTCTCATTTTCTTAGAAACAGAGACATATATATCAACTATTGTAAGTAAAGAAAGCACATTTGGCAAGATACAAATGAAAATAAGTGAACTCATATCTCAACAGGGAAAGGGGAAAAAAATAATCTCAGGTTTCTATGTTACTCTCTACATGAAAAATAGAAAAGATGAATGTGAATTTGGGCCACCGAAAATTAATTTCTAGAAAATACATGTCCCCCTTTAAAGTAAGCAAGTGCAGGCGTGATTGGCAGGTCCAAGTATATTATCCAAGTAAGGGGCCCATAATGTGAAATCACAATCACCAATTAAAATGAATAAAAAAACATGTGACAGCGTCAGGTGAGGTTTGATTGTACCATACCACCAGACCTGGACCATCTAGAGCAAACACTATTATAACTGGTTCCATGTCTAGGTACGAGTTGTGTACATATTTGAATCATAGTTCTAGGTTAATGGGTTTGATATTTAATACATGGATCTATAAACTACCGTTGCATGCAGCTCCACTTCAGTTCTGCAGTGGATACAAAGTACTTGATATTCTAAATTCTATATCAAGCAAGAAAATGGCCAACAAGGCTAGAAAGATTTTAAACAGTCAGGAGTTCAAATGTTGGGAATATAACAATGACAGACCAACATGATAAGAACATAGAATAGGCCATAATTTATCGAATGTTACAGAAGCATACAAAAATTAAATCACAATTATATAAAAGTTGTAACGGCAATAAATTTAAGCCAAGCATAAAGGTAACCGTCCCAACCATCACTTAGTAGTTTAACTAAACAAACACATACAAGCATATGAAGCTATTCTCTAATAAGTTCATCAAAACCAAGCAGCACCAAAGTCGTGTACATAAATATTTTGCAATAAGGGTAAGTTTGATAAGTATAGAGAGATTTTAGAGAACCCCATTATATTGTTCATTGCATTGAGGAGTTTAAATATAAAAAGTAGAGAAGTTCTAATAACCTAAGCGATGTGGGACTAAAATAAAGTAAGGTAAGAGAGCCTAACTACTATATTTAACATCCCCTCTTAGACTGTATTTGGGTTCCAAAGGCAGTTTGTTGAGAAGGAATGCACGATGCTATGGTGAGGGCTTGGACAGAGGCGGTAAGGGCGTAGATGTCCAATAAGAGCTTGGACAGTGAGAGCTTGGCCAGGGGAAGCTTGGCCGGAAGGAGCTCGGTTAGGGGCGCTTGGTCAGGGGTGCCGGTCGGGAGAAAGTGTCGCCGGAGATGTTGGCCAGGAGGAAGTATGGTCGGGGTGTTGGCTAGAAGGAAAGCATGGCCGAGAGTGCTGTCCAAAGGGAATCATAGCCTGGCATACTAGCCGGAAGATGGAGAGCATGGCCGGGGGTGCTGGTTGAAGGAGCATGGTTGGAGGTGCTGGCCAAAAGAGGGAGATCATGGCTAGCGGTGCTGGCCAGGGAAGCGCATGGTTGGGGTGCTAGTCAAGGGAGAGCATGGCAAGGGAAGCTTGGCCGGGGGAATGCTTGGTCGTGGGGAGCTTGGCTGGGGGGGGGAAGTGTAGCCAAGGAATGTGTCCTGCTCGAGGAAGTTGGTGGAGAAGTTGTGTAGCCTGACAGCGATGACGATGAGCAGAGTAGAGGTCAGAGTTGGATGAAGTCGCATGTTTTGGTAGGGAATTTGATTGAACAGGTAGCATGGGTGTTTTCTCAATGGATGTGTAGGCATTGGTGTGCTAGCTTGGGCTGTAGCGGTGCAGGTTTAGGTATTGGGATGCAGTGCAACATATAGTCGAACAGTTAGTGGGTGATGCTGAAGTGGGCAGATTTGCATATGTTGATGAGCAAGGAGAGCAGGTACATCTAGGGTTTAGTTGCTCGGTGTGTAGTGATGGCGATATGAGGACTGCTGGTTAGGGTCGGTGATATACAGGTAGGTGCCAAGGGTTGAGGTACGATCGCTGCATTGCAGGTTCAGGTGCCTTGGTTGGTCGAGTGGGTAAGAGATTAGTATAGGCAGATGGTGGGCATAATCTAGTGATTGGCAAGGATTAGGCAATTGTGGGCTCCTCGTTGTGGCTGGGGGGGGGGGG